TGCCCATCAACTGGAGACTGGATAAAGAAAATGTGGGTTTTTAAAAAAATAAAATTGAGTACTACTCAACCATAAAAAATGAGAAATTAGAGACATTTATAGCTAAATGGATTCACATTGAGGCGATACTTTTTTTTTTTTTTGGTACCGGGTTTGAACTTGGGTCCTTGCACTTGCACAGCAGGGGACGAAACCACTGAGCTAAATTGCTGGCCCAGAGGCGATACTCTTAAGTGAAATAAACAGGACACACGTGTAAATACCAAACAGTTTCTCTTGTGTGAGAAACTGAAAGTGTAAATGAGGACTAAAAGGTATAATGGATAATGTGAAATAGGATGAAAAGGGGCAAAGGGGAAGGGGAAATGTGAGGGGTAGGGGAAAGGAAAGAAGGGAATGGAATTAATATGAGAAAATGAAAAAATGGAAGCCAAGTCTATAAATAGTGAGGGATAGAGGGGTTGAAGGGAGGGCAGGGGATTGGGGAAAAAACAAGAACCAAGAGAGATTATGTAAAGGTGCAAATTTCTAGTGATGAATGCCATTATATTGTATACCTAAAATGTACCAATAAAATTAATTTAAAAAAAAAAACGATGGCTGCATGGAGGAATAAGTGACTGATCAATGATGGAATTTCATTGCAACTTCTCCTGGGCCTTGTCCAGATTCCTGTGATCCTGCCTCCCAAGAGCTGTGCTGCTATAGTGCAAGTGACAGAGCCCGGTCCGTAAGTGTTGGTTTTACTGGGTCTTCAATGAATTACACCAGTATCATCTGCAAAGGCCAAGAGGACAACCATGGAGAAGGCTGGGAAGGCAAGAGACAGAGAGGGGAAAAAGGGGGTTGAGAGGTATGCAGAAAAAGGGGAGAAAGGCAGAGGCTTTGGGACCTGAAGGAAAAACAGAGGTGAGAGGGACACTGACAGTAGCAGGGGGAGAGGACACAACTGAGAGGGGAATCATGGAAATGAATTCATGTCACCAGGGAAAGAAAACCTCTAGGTGCTTCTCTAAGAGGACTGCAGGGAGGCGGAAGGGAAAATGGAGGCTTGTAGGAGGAGGAGAGAGGAGGGCAAGAATCTTAACCAGAAAAAACTTAAGTAGCAGAGAAAGAGGGAAACAAGATGAGAGAAAAATGCTGGCCTGAAAGCTACAGAAGGGGTACCCAGAGTGGGAGAGCCAAAGCCACAGCCGCTTTGCCAAGGGAGGCGACCATAGGAGACCCACCCAGCCAAAATCTTGAAGTCTCGGACTTTTTCCACCTTATGAGCTGTAAATTGATCTATTCAGTTAAGAAACCTGGTTTTTATTGAGTAATTTCCTCAGAACAACCTCCAGTTTTGAAAATGTCCCCAACTTTCTCTGACTCTTCCCCCTCCCGCTGGGTCACTGTAAATCACTGGGAGGCAGCTGCCCTGCCCAGCCCTTCGCTGCTAGTCATGCTGCTGGGCTGATCCTGACCTGGCCCTCACTCTGCTTGGTGCAGACCTCCAAGCTGTTTGTTCTGCCAGCCAGTTCCCAGCATGCCCCTCGCTGAGCTCACATCCCAGCACCGACTCAGGAGCGCCTGGCCACAGAAGGGATTTCTCGCTGGTCCAGAGCCACGTATTCTGCCTGGCCCCAGATATCAAGGAAATCTCAGTCTCTCTTCTTAGCCTCAAATGGAACCTCTTGCAGCTGAAAACAAGGAGCTCTTTATGGAAAACAGCACCCACCACGTGCTCTTACATCACGTCTTTTATGCAGTTTGCCTCAAAGTGTTTCCAGAGACAAGTGCCATTGTCTTCCTCTTGCAGATGGCTCCAAGGGGAAAGCTGAGAAAGTTAACTGGATAAGTGAAGGTCGCTTCAAAAGTCAGATCAGAGGTGAGAGAATCCAGGGCACCCTGCTCCCAGGCCTAGCACCTGCCCACCCCTTCCCACAGCTGCCAGCATGCAACCACCCCTTCTGGCCCCTTCCAGCTCACAGCTGAAACCCCGTTTTCCCAAGCAGGATTGCCCAGATCTCTGGCGGGAAGGGGGCATCTTGCAGGATTAACTGAAGGCTGATGAGCCTGCCAAGATCTGAGAGGACGAGAGGGGACGGTGGGCTCTGCAGAGGTGCCAAGCAGGCGTCGGGCTCCAGGAGCAATTGCATTCATTATCTGTAGCCAAAGTTTTACTGCTTGCTCAGTCTGAAAGTTAGCAAAGTAGTAATCAATGAAAAGGAAATATAATTGAAAAGATTAAAAGCTGAGGGTGGGTATGGACTGGGGAGAGAAGTGATTGCTAAAGAGGTCCATTTGTATAACTCAGAGGTCGATGTCTCTCATTACACTTGCATCTCTAGACACTCAGGGGATGGGAGAGAACCTCTCCACACCGACTGGCTGACACCTAAGAGTTTCCTCTGGTCACCTTCAAGGGCAATGTGAGGCCAGAGGGACTAAAGAAGGTGTTGGAAGATGAATTTAGGGGAGTCTGTACGCAAACAACAGTTGAAGAATTGAAAAAAACAAATAGGTCTTCTGACCCTCTTAAAAAAGATATCCAAGCTTCTGTTAGATGCTGAGGACCTGTTCATGTGATCTGAACAAAAGCTGAATCCACGCCCAGGGAGGGAAGAGGCAGGTAGAGGGTCTTAACTTCTCTGTTTATACTCGTACTCACTCCTACATACGCACACATACACACACACACTTATTCTACATGAGATGCATGTGTTTATATGGATTTGAATCTGCAAAGGTCTATGGCTGATATCACATGTTTACTTAACTACCAACTGTATCTTTCTCTGAGACAAATGACAAACTCACCCTCCATACTTCTCCCAGGAAAGGAAGAAGCAGAAGGAGAAAGAGAAGAGGAAAAAGAAAGAGAAGGAGGAAGAGGAAGAGAATAAGAAGGAGAATAAGGAAGAGAAGAGAAGGAGAAGAAGAAGGAGGAGGAAAGAAACAGACAGAGAGAGACTACAGGTCTCAGCTGAAGCCTTGGGCTTGGGGGTTCAGGAGGCCACAACAGGGCCCCAGGGCAGGCAGTGTGTGGCCTTCCTTCCTGCCCTTGCCCTCTTACTGTGGAGGTTGCACAAGAGTTTGTCTACTGTGTTCTAGCCCCCAGCCCCTCATGTTCTCTTCTGTCCTTGCTGCCTACACCAGGACCCCGATCAGTGTGTCTCGGAGACCAGAGGATACAGAGAGGGCTGCCTGGTTCAGCAAACGCACTGCTTCCTGCTGCTGCATGACATTACCACACACTTGGCAGGTTAGTACAACACAAAATGTGTGTGTTTCCAGGGGCCAGGGTCTGGCACAGTCTGGGTGGGCTCTCTGCTGGGGTCTCGTACAGCTGACGCCGGGCCTGCTGCACCCTTACGCCCTTTGCTCCTGGGCTGGCAGTCCTCTTCCACCTCTCTCAGGTTGCGGGTGGAGCCATGTGCTTTTCGGTGTAGGGCTGAGGCCCCCTGTTTTCTTGCCAGTTACCAGCTGGGGCTGTGTCCAGCTGCTGTGCCCCATGACCTTCACCATACTGCAGTCTGCTCCCTTGTGGCCATCAGGCCATCTCCGAGCTACACTGGGTCTCTCACTTTGTCTGTTTCTGGCTTCTGGGCTCAGAATTAAAGGGTCGATGTGGTCAGGTTGGGCCCAAGAGGTCTCCTTTGTGATTAGTCAGTGTTGACTGACCAGTGACCTCGATCACATCTGCAAGACCCCTCTGCCTGCAGGGTGAACATCACAGCAATGGAGTTGCATTGTGGTGGCAACTACGCTTCACCAGAGGAGAAGAGGTGAGATGAGGCCCACCCAGCATCCGAGAATCCTGTCTAATATAAGAAACAAAAATCCAAACTGCAGATAAGAAGCAAATCATTCTTTTAGTGTATCTTCCATACAATATTTAGATACACTCACCCTCAAATATTACCCATCACTTATCTGACACTCAGGTTTACCTGGGCATCCTGTGTTTTCTCTGGGAACATGAGATGCAGAGCCTGCAGGTCTCTGCTGTACCAGAGGCCTGGAGTGGAAGAAGGCATTTCCTATGGGAAGCAAGGGAAACAGAGCTTTCCTAGGCCAGGTCAGGCAGTGATAAGGGGAGGCCTTCTCTGCTTTCGGGCCCAAGCCTGTCAACACCCTGAGGGTGACTCTGGGCCCCAGGCACATGCAGAGCCAGGCCTTGGAGGCACCTCTGTTGCCCAGGGTCAGAGTCTGGAGCGGGGAGCTTGGGCCAAGGGCAACAGAATAGCCCTAGGCTCTCCTACTGCTCCAGTTCAGCAGAATCTCTTACCTGGAGGTGGCTCACACCAGCTCTTTGAGCTGAGGAAAGAAACCCTGGATTGGTGAAAAAATTTTCCTTGTGAGCAACACTTGGCTTGCCTCACAGTTGCTCCAAATCCTCTCCAGCAATGCTTCCAACCCTGGCCAGCCCAGTGCTATGTTTTAACAGGCCAGGCCCTATGAGGCTGATCCTGGGATGGGTTATTTTTTCCAGTTTTCACTAGCAAAAATCTTTTTTTATTTGGACACTCAAGTGGCCTCTAGGAAAGGAGTTTTCATGAATTGCCAAAAATGTTGGGATGTGGCAGCATTTGTGTGTGTGGCCAGTTACTTCGGTACCTCTGAGGCCGATCCCACAGGCCTTTCTCAGGCAGAATTCCTGGGAACTTCCAGCAGACCCCCCACCCACCCTTTTTCCTGAGTTAAATCTGCAAGAGGAGGCTCTGGTAGCTGTCTGGCTGGCTGGAGATGGGCTCGTGTGTGGAGTTTTTAACTCTTATGAAATCAATCTGAATGAAAAGCGTGATTTATACGAGCACTAGTCAATGCATTATTAGAATTAATATCATTATTTTACTGTTTCCCTTTTTGGGTTTTTCCTCTCATTAATCAATTTAGTTCGATAAGATTGGGCTGAGTTTTGGCTGCACAGATTAGAGCTCTGCACTGTGGGAATGAAGAACCATTTGGTGAGTTCAGACAATACCTCCGTTGTTTTCTGATTTATTGAAAGCTCAGATTTTGCTGGTATTACATGCACCCACTGATGTTTTGCAAAGCAGGGATTAGTCAGATTTTTGTTTTAACCTGGAAGCTATCTCCACACACCCTTACTTGCTCAAAGAGTCTAGTTTGTTGTAGGCTGGCTGTTTCCACAGCCGAGTCACTGAAAAGGGGGGTGGCGGGTGTTTTACAACCATTCCTTCTTTCCGTCCTCACATTTATACAACACACATTTAACTCGTCTCCTGTCTGTTCTAAGTGTCCTACCTGCTTCCAGAAGAGGACCCACTTAGTCTTTTCTTAACCATCACCCTCATTAAGCAGTGTGGTGGGGCCCTTTCTGGCTGGGACCACCCCACTCCACACCCTCACTGGCCACAGGCGCCCATCATGGTTGTGCTCTGCAGGTTGATGCCCTCTTCTAGTTGCCTCTTGGTGTGCTTCATAACAAAGGTGCCTTCACTCCCAGCTTCTCAGAATCTTGTGATGCAGGAAGTCACTGTGGAAGCCTGAGGCGTTGTCCTCATGAAGAAGATGAAATCCGGGTGCCCAGAACACGGTTCCTACAGGCAGACAGTGCTGACTTGTCTTCAGGTAATGCTGACCGCAGCCTCAGTCACTCAGCTCACACATCCACACCCATGCGTGCATCTGCAGCCCTCTGCTCCCCAGAGCCTGAGGGATGGCTCTTCTCATCCACACTCCTTGCCTGGGGGCCTCCTCTGCCCCTTTTCTTCTTTGTTCTGAAAATGAAACTTAAACAAACAAGATCAGGGGAATAAGGTACATCCCTACTGGCACATGCAGATGTCCTAAGAGGAATTCTGATGCTAATCCCACTAAGGATGGTTAAAAGCCTGGTGGTGCTTTGTTTTATCAAATCTATAAGAACCTAGAAAAACAGATTTTTTTCTCTTGTGGTGCTAAGGACCCAAATCCAGGGCCTTATGCGCGCTAAGCATGTACTCTACCACTGAGCCACAACCCCAGACATTTTACATAAGACTTAGAGATGAAGTTTCCAAACCAGAAACTTATGTGTAATGATCACTCAGAAAACAATTCTTAGATGAACTGAGTTTGATATTTTTTTGTTTTAAGAGAAATCATCAAAATAAAAAACTTAACATAGTCTTTCTCAAATAAGAGTATCATGATATCTTTAATGACACTCCTAAAATGACCCCTGCCCATCCCAGTCCGCAGAGCTGAGTATCACCAGAGCAGCCTGGATTTTGCAAGGAGCATAATATGCCTGTACCTGTGCCTGGCACAGCTCACCATCCTAGCTCTCCCAACCCAATTCGCACACTTTCTCTGGCTCACACATGTCTACCTCTCACAAGTCTACCTCTCCCAAGGGGGGACATTCCAGAGGGAAATGAGTCAAGACATTGCTTTTTGGAAGCAGATAGGGATCTTTAACATGTTGACTCTGGGACTCTTACCACTGAGAGGGCGACTTGAGGTGGCAGGAACCCAACTTGTGGTGTTGTAAGTTAGCAGCTCTTATTACCTTGTGTTTCCATGTTCTAGGGTCCTAGGCTCATTTCCTCTACTTCATTAACATGGTATGCCAGATGCTGGCACTATGAGCCCCATTGCATGTGTGCCAAAATTGAGGCTCAGGGAACTTTGGTAGCCTGCCTCAACTCTCGGTGATAGAACCAAGCCAACTTTCTCGTGCTCTTCTTGAGAAATGCTGTTCAGAATAGATGCATTTTTCTAAACAGCAGCTCTCATTCACATTTCCTTCCAGCCAGGCTGCAAAGTCATCGATGATGATGATGACGATGACAGTTGTGAAGGTGATGGTGACAATGGTGACGATTTATTCTGATCAGCTAGACTCCAAGCGCTGTATTATATATGAAATGACCATGAATTAAGGTAATGATATCAGCCCTGTTTTATGTATTGGGGAAAAGAGCTTCAGTGACGTTGCGTAACTAGCCCAAAGTCACACAGCTAAGAGATAACCAAGATCTGATTTAGATGGTGCTGTGTCTGTGCTCAAATACTGCTGGACTACAATGAACAAAATACTTGGTTAGAAGGTCCAGACTGACCCCTTTTCTGACTCTCTCCCTTTAAACTTCACACTCTCTAGCTCTTCCCTTCAGACAGCGGGTTCTTCTGCCTGCTGGCCAGGTCGGCGTGAAACTAATTGGCAAACAGACTCGACCCCACCTGGAACACAATGCAGGGCCCAGAGGAGGCTAAAGTCCAAGTCTGCCCTCCTCCCTCTTTCTCTTTTCTTCTTCTCTGTCTCGTCCACTCCCCTTGCCCTCTCCCTCTCCCTTTGAACCTTAATATTGTCTCACCCTGAGATTCTCACCACAACATAGGTCAGATACGCTGAGACAGATGCACTTGTCCACGTCAGTGAACCTCGTGGTAAATGGTGTACCCAATATATAATGCAGGCTTCTCAAAGCTTGTCCCAGGTGTAAGTACACAGCCAAGCCTCAACTACTGAAAATATTCACGGATCATTCTGGAAAAATTCATCCCTTTTAAAGGTAGGATTGTTGCTCATTGACATTAGAAAATCTGTGTTTGGCTCCTCCCTTTGAAACACTGGAGGTACATAGCCTCTGGCAAGTGACTTAATTTCAGTGAACACCAGTCCTTACCTAACAAAATGGGAAGAATGCTATTCTACTTTCAACCTGCTATCAGGATTAAAATATACCTTGTCTGACAAGGAGTGGGCCCTCAACAAATACTGCTGTGTCTTTTGAAGACCATGGCTTGTGATTTAGCTTTATTTCCTAGACACTAGCTTATATAAACAAACCAGCAACTCCACTGCTTCTTAATTCAGAGAAGCGCTCAGAGGTTACTGCCGCCCAGGGGCCCAACTCACCCATATCCTGAACACCCCACCCCTCTGTGGACCATTTCTCGTGGCTTTCCCTCCACATGTGGGATGCTCACCAGGGCTGGTGTGAGACTCAGTGTGACCAACAGGCCAGCCTGCTAGGTTGGGGTTTCGTTTCTTTCCACCACACATCGAGTTTCCATGCAGTCCTTGAATTTGTATCTTGCCTTCTCTCCTCCCCCGCCCCCGCCCCAACCTCTCCACTGCCTTCTTTTCCAGGCTCCTTTCCTCACTTTTCTCCACCTTTGCTATCAAGGAGGCTTGGCTTGTATCGGTGCCAACTGTTCCCGTCAAAGTCCCAGCAGGAGATAGATGGCATACTCAGCTTACAAGGACTCTTGAATGGTTTAACAAAAGGACTATTTACAAACTGAGGATGGAATGAACCACACAGGGATGAAAACAAGGTCAGAAGACAGGGAGGGGCCTTGTTAACACTCTGGAAAGGGTGGGGGTTTCTAGACCCTGGAAGGACCTGCTGGGCAGGGGCAATCAGCTCAGCTGATGGGGCCAGGGCCCGGACACCTCAAACCTTCTTCTTGTTTTCCTATCCTTCTGGGGTTTCCACTGGACAAGCCCAGTGAGGTGCTGGGAACAAGCCTCCCCCTCCAGGGCATAGAACAGGGTGAAGCAGAGCAGTGGAGTGTGGCTTCTTGTGACCCCAGAAGAGAGCACTCCACACAGCAGCAGCATTTCATCTTCTTTGGGTCTATACTCATCACCAGTCTACACAGCTGTGAGTCCTATATGTAAGATCATGGGATGTGGCTGTCATTTTCTGCAGACTCACAGGCTAAATTGTGTTTTCAACTCTTGTTCTATTTTCCTTCCTTTCTTTAATTTACTATGGCCTGCTCTACATTTCACGAAGCTATTTTAAGCATACGCAGGAGATCTTTTTGCCATACACAGGGAACAATCAATGTTCTCATTTAATAATTCATTCTTTCATTAAGTGCTCCAAGTAATTAAATAAAACATGAATAAATTCCACACTGATATTTGCTAAAGTTTTGTTTCTAGAGAATTTCACCTGTTGGAGGATATGCTGGGACCATTGTTTACTATGACAAGCAGCGAAGCAGGGAAATCTTCTCTGTGTATAGTGCTAATTTCATTATGGTATTTACCAAATGCCTACTAAGCACTCCGTATTTAAATACAGGCCTTCCAACATTTAAATAGCCCTAGGAAGTTTTCAACAAATGTAGGCTCAGAGAGATGCAGCACCTTTTCCAGGATCACATCTGGCAAATATTTGCACAGAATCAGATACCAGATTTGACTGGCACCAAAGCCCCTGTTCCTTCTGCAGTTCCTCACTACTATATCTTTCCGTCCTATCCCTGGGGAGTAGGTGATGCAGATGGCCATGCAGACAGGTCACAGGGTTTCCAGTATGTCACCGTGTGTAGGGTGAGTGGGGGAAAGAACATTTCAGAAGCGTGGGAAACAACCTTCAGGGGAGTTCTGAAAAAGGAGTAAGGGACAGAACTGGCAAAATAGAAGCTCTCCTGTTGTGAACATCTTTCCCCAAAAGAAGCGAGTCCACATTTTTCAGTGGATGCAGTGCTTATCACATTCTCCAAACAAGCCCAGGCTCACTGAAGGCAGTTTTCCCCGGTCCCTGCTCCTACTCTGAGTCATTAAGAGCCCTATGGCTTCCGCAAAAGACTTCACATTAGTGCTGGGGGCACCCTTCTCTCATGCTGACCTGCTTGTTAGCACCCTGTGACGGTTTCACATCACCGTGTCATTACTTGTTTGCTTTGAGAGTAGTTTTATAGGTGCCACGGTCTTGCTAGGTCTCCAGAAAGTCCTCTAAGTGTTGGAACAGGGGCATCCTGATGGAGAAAACCCCCCTCACCTAAATTCCCACCGCTGCCTGGCGCTATCCCAAAGAGCAACCTTCCCCAGGTGTCTCCTGAAACAATGGCTCTCTCGGTCCCTTTGTGCTCTTTGTAACCCCTGGCTCTACACTTTCCTCACATCCCCATCCAGCCAGTCACCAAGTCCTGTCACATCTACAGTTTCAGTCCCCTCTCTGTCTTCCTCATGTGATTGCCATAGTTTGGACCCCATCTCTTCTCCTTTGACACACGAAAGTACTCATTCCATAAAAATTTTCCTAATATGAACAAATGATCCATTTTGAGACAGATCTTTCTGATTACCTCTCTACTACTTATCCATCTTTGCTGGACCACCAGAGTTAACATTGTAGATTTCAGATTTAATCATTTTACCTTCCTACTTAAGCTATCCCCTAATGACTGTCAAATGCCTGAAAGAATATTCCAAATACCGTAACCTGACACAGCAGGGCCCACGCCCTTGTAAGTGCCCCCTCCAGCCTTCTGTGCCCTTTCTGTTCATTTATGCACTCCTGTCTTTGCTCATGGTGTCCTGTCTGTCCACAAGGCTCTCTGCCCACCTCTTACATAACTCCTGTCTTAGCCTGAGTTTATGCTCTTAATCTTTATCAAGAAAAAGAATCCATCCACTCAACTGGGCTCTATTAGCTATGCTAGGGGCATAAAGCCCCTTCAAAAACCCATGGCGAATAGGGAGCACTAATTTCAGGAGGGCACAGAATGTGACCTACTGCTCATTAGGCGGCCCTCCCACCAGCTGTCCGCTCTGTCTCCTACATTGCTGTAGGAGCACAGGGAGGGTACTGCATCTACCAGCCGGATCCAGGACCTGGGATCCCCAAGACCTGTCTGCTGGCTGTCAGGCTGAGGCAGGGTGCTCACTTACTGCTTTGGTCTCTAACAGACTTGTCACTCACAATACACAGAAATGACATTTTCTGCTAGTGTTTTCTGACTCTTGGTAACTCACTCATGCATCCAAGAAGAAGCAGAGAGCTACAGAGGGAAATGGAGGACAATATCAGAGAGAGGAGAGGCAGAGAAATGAATGCTTAATGGCTGTTCTTTTCTCTTTTTTTCTTCATTGGAACCATGAGAATGCAGGAGGTCAGAGCAGGTATGAATGACTCAAATACCCTTTAGATCCTGAACCTTTTCTTCAAAAGAGATGTTAGTGTATTGGGACAGATGAGTCTGACAGCGACAGGGCAGAGCGTACCACCTACCCCAGTGTCCCTGGTCCTTGCCCCCCCCCCCCCGCAGCCTCTGGGAAGCCCCAGGGAGGACAGGACAGTTCTCGTGGCCCTGGGAAGCACCGACACTGGGGGTGGGCCTACCAAAGCCCACCAAAGCGCCTGAGTCTCTCTCCTGAGAGGACCAGTGAGGGAGGGAAGGAGTTTTGCATATTTGCTTTTCATCAGAGAATTCTAACAAGGTTGTTTTTCTTTTACCTTTGCAGGTCCCTTATTTTGAGAGGAGAAAATGGCTGTATCATTTGTGGCCGGCATGTGTTGTGTCTGGTTCCTGTGGTTTGTTTTCGTGCTTTGAAAACGAAGCTGTTCATGGCTCCGAGATGGAAAGCAGACCACGTTTTGTCAGTGAGGCCATTCGTCATGTCTCCCAGAGGGGGCTGTGAACTCCACAGCCTTGTACTCTGCCAGCAGGAAGACCACCCATGCTGTGGAGGTCAGAAGGCCAGCAGGCAGCAAGGGCCAGCCTGACTCGGGACTCTGACACCCGGCTGTGCTGTCCTGAGGCCTCGGCCAGGCTCCACCCACACCGGCACAGGCACACAGGTCTGCTGTGCCAGGGAGATCGGGTCCCTGTGGTGGTTCAGGTCGCTGTTGCGAATCTTGCAAATGTTGGGCCCAGGCTAACCTTGCCAAGAGTCCAGATTGAGCAGAGCTGCTCAAATCTCCCCAGCACGGAGCCTGGAGAGGAAACAACTTTAGTGCTCTGGTAAAAGTTGTTTGGCTATGTTTAAGTTGAACTCTTTTGTTTTTTACTGTTCTGCAGAAAGCTAGTTGTAAAATGCTGTGACGTACAGCAAAGAACTTCTGCTAGCAAATGTCCGCACCTGCTGGGTAGGGGGAGCAGGGGAGGAAGCAGTCCAGACTTGCATTTCAGAGAGGAGTTTCCATGCAGCTGGCCTGGCAGGCCAGGGATTCTCAGCAACTGTCAGACTCACCATGGGGTCCACACAGGGCTGTGGGGCTCAAAGCCTGGAATCTGTATTCATGACAAGTTCTCCAGGTGATTGTGCCCGAGCTTGTTTGAGAACCAAGCTAGTGGGGTTCGTTGACAATTCGGCTCCGTGTCTGGGGACTGTCTCTCCAAGGGGGCACAGGAGGGTGCTCCTGTCTCCAAGGAATGCAGGGAGCGCTGGCATGGGTCCCAGAACTGTTCAGCAGAGCCAACAAGGAGGTCACTGTTTGGTTTGCCAAGTTGTATCAAGACAGGAGAAAATGAGCATGGAGTGCAAACCTTCTGAATCTATTAAAACAAACAAAACAAAAACTGGTGTAAATGTACTACTTAGATCTGGAACAACAGCATACAACAGAGAAGGAACTGATTGTAATTGTGTTCAGAGAGGAACAAGTTGAGCCTAGATCCTATTATGTCTTGTTCATTTTTATAGAAAGTGATGACTGATTCACATTGTAACGTTAATAAAGATGTCACTGTAATGGAAAAGGCATGGGAGTCCATGCTTTCTCACTTTCTCTCACTTAAACCTAGTGGATGTGCTCTTATTCAGCTTAGGCACATAAAAGATACCACCTCTCCCTCAGCATGGGCACCGGGAGCTCAGGAACAATCAAGAGCTCCCACAGTCCCTTCCCTGCACCTGCAGAGACACGGGCCACAGTTCGTCCTAAACCCTACACCTTTCCGGCTTCCCCAAAATATGCCAGAAGTAACCCCACTCTCTGGTCCCCTCTGAGTGACCCTGCCCAAGGACAGCCTGGCCCAAGGGTGGTGGGGCCACCAGTCGTCCCAAAGCAGTTGGTTGCTTCATCAGCGCTCACCCTGGACGGCGACTCCTGAGTCAGATTTCCCAAGCTCATGACTTCAGCATGTGTGGCCTAAGGGACTGCTCCGTCATGCTCTCCACAACATCTGGCATGCTTCACCTCTCGGGCCTCATCTTGCAAATTTTCTAAGGGAAAAAGTCCTAATTATCTCATTTCTTTCCACTGGGTAGGGAGGTGAGTTTTGGTGGAAGGAGGGGATGCTGGGGGAAACAAGTGGCCTTTACCTCTTCCTGTGAATTATCTATATTGAGATCCAGCAACAAAGATGTATATGGGTGGAAGAGGGGCTCTGGGGGGAGGGGAGATGCACTCCCAAATCTACGGGCCTAATCAGTCGACTCATTCTGCTACCCACAAATGATTTATATTCATGCAGTCAGTATTCCAGGGTGGGGGCAACCATCCCTTGCTATAGCAAAGTCTCCTTGGAAAAATAAGGAAAGGGAGGACTAAATGGCACAATTAGGGTGAGGAGAGAAAAGGGGGATAGAAAAAAATGTAAATGATAAAATGAGGGTAAAAGAAGAAATGGTCAGAGGTTAAGAGCTGGGACATAATTCTCTACAAGAATTATATTTTTCTATTGCCTGATCATCCCTCTTTTACTTTTAAAAATGAAGGTATTTTCCTTCATTCTGTTAATCCTCTAGAAGGGCTTCGCTGCATCAGGCAGTTGGAGGATTGTTGATTTAAGAGTCTCTTTATGTCAGAATACAATCTTTACTCAGCCAATATTTGAAACTTGTATGAGACTTGCTAGACTCAGTGAATATCTGGAATGACTAATATGGACTTAAAAAATTATCTTCCTTGCCAGGAAGTTGTTTGCTTTGGGGACAAAAAACAAACAAGTGAAATAAAAGTGAGACTACCAATGATTTCCTTCTCTTTTTTTATTTCCTTACTGTTTTGCTAAAAGGGCAATTTTTGAAGAGGATAAAGACTACCAAACTCCAACTATCACTTGTACATATTGGTGATCATCATGATACTTGCTAGAATCTTGGCGACTTGGTCTCATGTATTCTTGCACATCCTAGTGTCTTGTATGTGGTGAGAACTGAAAAACAATATATCTTAAAAATTAATACGGGCCATCCTCCTTAGTTGTCAGCATTGATATAATTCTGTCTCAATGCCATCTTCTGTTACCTTCTCTTTATATCACAGGGGAGGAGCCAGAAGCCTTCCCAGTGTGGTATGGGTCAGAGCCAGCCTCACACAGCCCTTGAACGTGATTTGGAAACAAGCACTCCCCAACATCATGTCAGCAGACCTGTGGTCAGTGGGCAAATGCAGCAGTGTCCAGCATGTCCAGCGAGTCGTGTGCCTGGAGCTTCTGGTCAATGCTCTTGGCTTCTCATGGGCTCTGGAAACTCACAGTGACATTTCAGCCTGGGGCACTTTGAGTAATGCAGACCAATGGGGGGCGCGTTCCCTAACCTAGCTTCCAGGCCTTCCAACAGCCCTGTAAGGCTCTAATCTTCTGCATCAAACCATTACTGCTTATGACTCCTCCAGAGGCTTCAGAGGTTCCCCTGACCAAGCTCTGACAATACAGCAAGCCACTGGGATTGACAAGATCACGTAGAGAGGGAGTGCAGGTGGGAAAGCCCGGTGGGCATCCGAGTCACTTCCTTCTTTCCCCTGCTTGGTGCAGTCTGACCTTTGGCTGGCTGAGGCCCAGCCTGGTGTCTGGATGAGTAGCCATGACTGGCCAGCCAGTCACAGTGACCCAGGTGTCAGTTACTGGAACCTACTGCAGGCAGGCATGTGCACACATGAGTGTGCACATACACATAATCTGTGTGTCACAGTAAATTAAATTAACGCTCAAACATTTAAGCAACTTGACCCAGTCATTCAGCTAGTTACCAGTTTGGACTTGAGCCCTGGAACACTGTGAAATCCCTACTCATTCTACCCTGCAAACTACATAGCCTTCTGACTTCACCCTGCTCCAGGTTTCCCACCTGTTAGATAAAGGAATAAGGTTAGAGGATGTCCCACACCCTGCCCAAATGTAGTCTCTTGTCTTTGTAAACAGAGTTGCCTGGGGCTGGCCCCCAGAGGCCCTGGGCAGACTTCAAGATGCTTGTGACGAACATGTGACAAACAGGCACGGACAGCAGGAATTGTGAGGAGTCCACAAGAGAAACTGGGGAGGTCATGGTTTGGGCTCACAGGTAACACTGTCTAGCCGCACAATGCTGAGCCAGTTACCAAAGCATACAAACCTCAGTGACACAGCGTCTTGTAAATTGTCCTCACTGTTGTTGCCCTCAGCCAAGCCATGGATATGAAGTAAACAGGGATGACAGCTAGAATTCCTGAGTTGAAGGGCTCGGTACACTGAGTAGGAAGAGGAAAATAGGAAGGGTAGCAAGTTACAGAGCCCTGGAAGAGGCTCTCTTCCAGGAAGGTAGGCAGAGCAAAGGCAGAAAATAATCAATGGCTGAGAAAAGTGAGCAGCCAACCACCAAGGGGATGCTTCTCAGAGTTTAAAAAAAAAGGTGCCAGTGACCAAAAGATGCTCTTTCTCTAATTTAAAGAAGCAACCTTTATTTTAAGCATTCTGCATTACAGATTTCAACGTTAATAGCACAACTTCTGAAACATATTGATTCAGGTTTAAAAGGGACCACCTGTGTCCAGCATACACTCAATGGAATGTTCTGTAAGAGGAAAGTAACTCGAATAGAAAACAATGTTTCAGTGTCTTTAGTCTATCACTTATCTTAGCAAAATTGACTGTTTGCTCCCAGATACAGGCGGTGTAAAGAAGGAAACATGGTGAGATCCCCAAAGGTGAGACTGAGCCCAACAGCATGTAATAGGCACTCAAAAATAGTCAAGTGCATGAGTTCTTGAAATCATAAGAGGGACTCCCAGGAGATACGATTATCAGGACACACCAGTATCTCAGAGGCAGAAACAGCCTTGAAATTTTAAACTCGTCCATTGGAGAGCTGATCCTTACAACACTTGAACTTGAAGAGGCTCCATATTCCAGAGAATAGGAATTTTGAGACTCTAAGAAAGGATGTGAGGCTAGGCCTTTCTAGAGCCATCTCCACCCTTGTCCTAAGAAGGATTTAACAATTCAGAAATAATTTTAACGGGCACATCAGTCAAGGTATCCAAATAAATATTACCATTTTCCATCAAAGCAAGTTATTCAGAATCTCCAGGGACTGTCTTTAGAAGATGATGTCAAAAGCAACAGAGGTAATATTTTGGACATGGTCTTAGGGCATTGTTTCAGTCTTTGGTTCTCCCATAGCGATGAAGAGTGGAACTCAGAAGCTGAGTTTGAGCCCAAGCACTGACTAGTTTTTAATCAAATAAACCTGGTGGGGAAAAAAAAAAATCACTGCTGTCTTGAATTGCTTTTCTTCAACTATAAAATGGGAACAACTACATGTGCTCTGCTGACCCCAGGATTACTGTGAGGGTAAAGTGATCTGAATGGGAAAATGTCTTGAAGAAATAAAGATATTCTTAGCATACAGCATATTACTAAAGTCTTGTGTTCCTCACTGTGGTAACCCTGTCTACTTGCTCAGATTTTAATTTATTATTCTTTTAATGACAATATAAAAACCCTTCATAAGACATGGGTGTGGACAGTGATTTTATTCCACTGAATTCTAAACAGTACGTTTGTAACCACACATCATTGCTATCACACACATGTAATAGTGAATAGGAAAGTCCATAGTAAAATTGGCTCGGCAACAGCTGGACCATGAGAATGAGATGGAGTGACCATGTCCTCACTAATAAATGTCAGCCTGATTTGAATTACTCGCTAAAGCACAGCTTAGACAAAGTCAAAAGGGAAAACCAAGCTTTCTCGATAAAATGGAATCCCAAAGCATAAATAAAATATTCCACCTGAAAAGAATGATTTATTATCTCTTACTCAAGAAAAGGATGCTCAGTGCATTCTATGTGACCACATCTCTCAAGTTGTTTGCTACTGGTTTATAAAAGGTGCGCATCTTGTACATAATATCCCCTCCCCCATCTTGATTTATACATTCTGCTAAAAGAAAACCTGGAAGTTATACTTTGGTTACTTGAAACTACAAAAGTTTTTTTGTCTTTTCAAGGATTGGCACTTCTTTGCCTCAGAAAAGCAAATTACCCTATGCCCAGGCCGGAAACACTGGTGATCATTTACATCCACTAAAGAGAATTAGGATTCAAGAAATCTGACACAAGTTCTTAGTCATTAAAATAAGGCTGCCACAGAACAAAAGAGACTACATGTCTAAGACAGAAAAAAAACCATATCTACCATGAAGTAATGAATTGAGTTTGTACCATATATAATTTATTTCTTAATAAGCTATTCAATTAAAAATTCTGGAAATAAATATTTAATAACGTAAAGCCCCTCAGTCACCAAATTCTCCAAGTCACAAGAGATGTGACATACTAAGAAAGATATTTACATTTTTTGTGAGGAAAATACTTTTCCTAAGCGTAATCATCTAGAAATGAAAGGCCACGAACATATATTTTTAGTCCTACATATCTAAAACACACTGTCTCTTTTCTGATATAATTTGGACAGTTTTACAAAACTAACAGAATAGTTTTGAGGGCATTTAAGGCTTCTTAGAGTTATTCAACACTTACAAGACATGATCAGCCCACCCTGTGACCATTCTACTCTATAGTTAAGATAGATGCAATAATTAGGATAAATATTTGGGATGAAGTAGTGCATGAGTTAAGAAGAATCATTTGAAGATTCAGGGAGCAACTCTTTTTTCATTTGAAAAAAACTAATCAATAGAAGCAAACATCTCAGTTGCTCTATACAAACACAGCTGACATTTCAACATCTGAAACCTGGGTTTTCCCCCACGCAAACCTGCCTCAGGGGGAGTTCCACCATATCTGGCAAGACCACAATAATCCTATTTTCTTAAGGACCTGGGTCAGTCAAGATGTGTTTGACCCTTGGAGGTGTAAACAATACAGAAGTATTACCTCACCTTTTCTTCCTATTTCACAATAGCAATGATACATTTTGATCCTTATTTACACTTTTAGTTTTTCACACCAGAGAAACTATTCGGTATGTACACATGTGTGACCTATTTATTTCACTTAAGAGTATCACCTCAATGTGCATCCACTTAGCTATAAGTGTCTCCAGTTTCTCATTCTTTATGGCTGAGTAGTACTCCATTTTATAGAAAAACCACATCTTCTTTATCCAATCTCCAGTTGATGGGCATTTGGGCTGTTTTCAAGCTTTAGCTATTACAAACTGTGCAGCTATAAACACCGGTGGGAAAAGGTCTAAAGGAGTAGGGTAAGTGGGAGGGATAGGGGAAAGAAAAGAAGGGAAAAGAAAAAATATGAGAAAAGGAAAAAAATGGAAACAAAGTCTTTGTAAATAGGGAAGGGAGGAGGGGTTGAAGGGCAGGCAGGAGAATGGAGAAAAAATAAGAACCAAGATTCATCACGTAAAGGTACAAGTTCCCAATGATGAATGTAACTGTACTGTAGACCTAAATGTACCAATAAACTTAACAGAAAAAAAAGAAGTATTACCTCACCTGTCGGGAATAGGTGCATCACAGCAGTCTCTGTCACTCTGGAATTCTCAGCTTGGTCCCTCTGCATTTGTTGGCCTTCTCTTCAGTGACTCCTTCAAACTGCAAGCTGGCTGTCAACAGCACCGAGGGCCACATTTTCCTCATTCATTTTCAGCGAACAAGGTGCAACTCCCACACATGTAGAATGAAGATCTTTCCCTTCAGTCTTATTTGACCAACTTAAGTCCAAGCCTGCAATGTACCAACAGTTGCCAGGGGTCCATCAAGCCCTAATCCCTTGTTCCAGAAGTAACAACCAACAAGGAGGCAGCTTGGACAGTCAGCTTCACTGAGACCAGGGAATCAACAACCTTTCCTTGAGATGTGGGGCAGCATTGGAGGGAGGTCTGAATATCTACCCAAAATCAGGGTTTTGTTAGGAAGGAAGAAAGAGAGAATGGATTCTAGAAAACAACTGACAATGTCCACATGAGGGTACATTATCCTTCCCAAAAGAAGTGGTGAGAAGAATTTTGGCTCTAATTTGTCTGGAATTTATGTAGGACTGTGGCCCCTGGCACTAAAAGAAGTCTTTCTGAGTTGAATTCTAGCTTCAAGAAAGTAAATTCTAAGTTCCTTAAGAGAGGGGGCTACAAATAGATTCAAATAGCCAGGTAAATTTTTATCAGGGCCTGTTGGAAGCACTGTAAAATCAGTAGAAATAAAGGCATTCCCCACACCAGCACAAACAGAAGCAGCAGCTCCTGACCAAGGACAGCAATGGGGACAAGTAGCAGGGCAGTCACAGAAAAGCCCAAATGTCTCCCAGAAGACAAGTCACCTACCATAGATGAGAAGGAGATGTGGAGTGGCTTTGGGATTCAGCATTTCTTCTAGATAAGGGCTCAGAGCCAGAGATGTGACAAGAACCCCAGAGTCCTTCTAAACCGATAAGAACACTCGCTTCCCAGCTGCTTCACCCAGGCTGGAGAAGGTTCTCATAAAGGGGGCATTCCCAAGGGTTTCTGGAAAGTGAGCAGAGTGGAAGTGTCGACCTGCTGCACAGGACAAGACAAGGTCACAGACAAGGAGATACAGGGTGCTCGGATTGGTGAGATCAAGTCGAGTACAAGGTGTGGCCTAACTGACCTGGGCATACTTCAGTATTTCCATTTTGGAGATAGAGAAAAGGAGGCAGCAAACAAAAAGTTTAACAAAAGTCTAAGAAAACTATGGGAAAACCAACTTTAAAAACAGTGGAATATAGTATTGTAGCACAAGCACACACACACACAACTGCCTAAAATTTTCATCAAGACCAATGCTTGACTTAAGTCACCTTGAGTTAAGTAGAAATGATATAGCTTCCTAAAAGACTAACTGCCCACACCACCACCCAGTGAAGAATCTACTACAGGATGGTACATGGCCAGAAATTATAGAATCAAGATTCAAATAATTTTGACAGTCTAAAATGTTGGGAAAGATAAATGCAACAAAATTATTAGAGACAAATGCAAAGTCCATTACTTCAATAGAAAAAAATCAACTTTATAGACAAGGGGATACCTGCTTAATAGCTGTGAGTTTTGATCGTGTCTGTTAGTTGACCACAAGTTTAATACATGATCATGAGTGTGATGTAACTTCTAAAAAATCAATATGATATTTACATTGTGGTACATGATAATGTCACCATTTCCCAACAGAATCAGACCCCATCTGGGAAGCTGCCTTGGTTCGGGACGACAGTGGTGATGGGGATGGTGCCAGGGTGGGGTCTGTCAGAGGAGAGCGCCAGAGAGGCTCCACCAGCAAGCGGCCACCTACTGGCTGGGGAATAAAGTCTCTATGGCTTTTCGAAGGA